CCTAAACCCTAAACCCTAAACCCTAAACCCGACTGATAGCGCCTGGAACCCAGTGGCCCCCCTGGCCTCACCAGCAGTAGAAGAAAGGGCTGCCTGCGTAGGTGCTGAGGGACTCAGCAGTGGCTGCTTCTTGTGTGCGTTGTTGCTGCTGCTGCTGATGTTGCCGCTGCTGCTGCCGCTGCTGCTGCTCCCCTCCCTGCAGCTGCTGCTGCATCACCGCAGTGTCGCTCATCCGGCGGGGCTGCTGCAGCCGCCTTGTCACAAGGAAGCTGCTGCAGCGCCAGCAGCGGGCCCCCTCGGGGGGCCCCCCGAGGCCCTCTGGGGGCCCTGGGGGGCTCCCAGGGTGCCCCCCAGCGGGGCCCCCAGGGGGCCCCTCGGGGGCCCCAGAGGGGCCCCCTGCTTCAGAGTACTGCGGCAGCAGCTTGAAGGCAGCAGGCGGGGGCAGCAGCAGCGCTGCTGTGGCAAACGCAGCGGCAGCTGGCGTCCTCTCTGCTGCTGGCTCCCCTGCTGCTGCTGCAGCTGCTGCTGCAGGCGCTGCTGCTGCAGGCGCTTCTGCAGCAGGCGCTGCAGCAGGCGCTGCAGCAGCTGCTGCCGGGGCCGCCGGCGGCGGCTGCGGCAGCAGCTGCAGCCCCTCCAGCGCGCGGTGTACGTACACCTGGAGAGCCACACCGAGAGACCGGGACTTTTCTTTGTCTGCGCGCAGCAAAAAGAGCAGCAAAAGGAGCAGCAAAAGGAGCAGCAAGCAGCTGTGGGGCCCCACAGCTGAGGGTTTGCAGGGTTTTGCTGCAGGGCTAGGGTCCAGGGGCCCGGGGAAAGCCTTGCCCGCGCTGCTCTTCAGAGCTGCTGCTTCTGCTATTAGGCACTGCAGCAGCAGCAGCACGCACTTTCGCAGCAGCTTCAGCAGCTGAGCCCCATGGGCTGCTGCTCCTGCTGCTCCTGCTGCTGCTGCTGCTGCTGCTCGCGCCAGACGCTGCGCCTGCCGCGGCTCCTCAGCCTCCAGCGGGCTCAGGAACTCGTCGCATGCGTCCTGCTGGTCGAATTGCTGCTGCTGCTGCTGCTGCTGCTCAGAAGCATCATAGAGAGATGAACCCACAGACTGCTGCCGAAGTGCAGTGGACCACTGGTCCTCGAAAAGTGATTCTTGCTGCCTTTCCGCCTGCAGAATTTGCTTCTGTAGCTGCTCCTGCTGCTGCTGCTCCTGTTGCTGCTGCTGCTGCTCTGGCGCTTGTTCCTGGGCCCGCTGATTACCTTGCTGCTTGTCAAGTTCCTCTTTCTGATGCTGCTGCTGTTGCTGCTGCTGCTGCTGTGGCTGCGCCTGCGCGCACTCCCGCGGCCCCGAATCTTGCCATTGTTGGTTCTCCCCCGTCCTCTGGCTCTGCTGCTGTTGGTGCTGCTGCTGCTGCTGCTGCTGCTGCTGCGCTCCAATCAGGGCCACGGGGAAGCCTCCAGCTATGGCCCACCGCCACAGCTGCGCCGCAAGCCTTCGGACTCTTCGGGCAGCTCGGGAGGGACCCCAGGGTGCTGTTGTGGCTGTTGGTACTCCTGCTGCTGCTGCTGCTGCTGCCGTTACTGCTGCTGCTGCTGTTGTTGTTTCTGCACGAACAGCAGCGGTGGCACTGCCTCCGCTTAGAGGTCCATGAGCAACTATTAAGCTCTGGCTCAGCTGCTGAGTTGCTGCCTTCGGGTATGCTGCAGCAGAACCAGGAGCTGTTGCAGCAGCCACGGCTGCAGCAGCAGCTGCTGCTGCTGCCCCGCTGCACAGTAGCAGCACCAGGGCCGCCTGAATTAAGACGCAGCCATCAGCAAAGCCGCTAATCACCAGCAACGAGACGCCGTGGGCGTCGCCTGCTGCAGCAGCAAGTAGCAGCAGCTGCAGGCGTAGCAGCAGCAACTCAGCCTCTGCAGCAGAAGGCAAGCGTGGGTGCACACCATGCTGCTGCTGCTGCAGCATCTGCTGCTGCTGCAGCTGCTGCTGCTCCCACAAAAAGGGAAAGCAACAAGGCTGTGAGGCTCTCGCGTGAGGGTGGCTGCCGCTGCTGCTGCTGCTGCTGCTGCTGCTCCCACTGCTGCTGCTGCTGCTGCTTGCACAGGAGGGCAGCAGGGCCTTGAAGTATAGCAGGTGAAGCAGCCCTTCATGTCTTTTCTGCTGCAGAGCCGCGCGGGCGCAGCGCAGCAAAGCCCGCAGCTGACAGCAGCAGCAGCAGCAACAGCAACAACACAGCGAGCTGTTTATTCTGGCGCCTTGGGTTTGCTGCTGAGGCTTGGTGCCGGCAGCAGAGGTTTCCGCCAAGGGTTTAGGGTTTATCACCTATGGTTTAGCGTTTGGGGTTCAGCAGCCGAGAATTATAGGCTTCAGGTTTACAAATTTGGGTTCAAGGGTTTAGGGTTTAGGGTTTAGGGTTTAGGTACCTCTGAGGCCTGGTAGCCCTGAGTTAGCATGCGGGGGCTCTCGCTTGCATCCTGCGGCCAAGCCGGGACCCAACGAGCCCTGCTGCTGCTGCTGCTGCTGCCTTCATCAGTTGTGTACATGCAGCTGCGACAGAACTGCAGCAGCTGCTGCAGCATGTCCGGGCTGCTCTCGTGCTGCACAGCAGCAAGCAGCGGGAAGCTGCCGCGGGTGTCTGCCCGCAGCAGCAGCTGCCGGCGAACTGCTGCAGAGGTGCAGCAGCAGCAGCAACACAGTCGCTTGCTGCTACTAGACACTTCCATCTGCTGCTGCTGCTGCTGTTCGTGCTCTTCGTTTGCCCCCTGCTGCTGCTCCCGCTGCTGCTGCTGCTGCTGCTGCTGCTGCTGCTGCTGCTGCTGTAGCTGAGCTCTTGTAGCAACAAAGCAGCTCAGCAGCCAGCTGACGAGATCTGTGCGGCTGCTAGGAGCCACAGGTTTGTGGAAGCCCTGCAAGCGGCACTGCAGCAGCAGCAGC